CTATGTCTGCAATGTTGCCTTCTGGTAGTTCAGTCCCCTCAGTTCTGACTACCTTCCCTCTCTTTGTTACCATTCGTTACCATATATATATGTATTAATATAAATTATTTAATTCTATCAAAGAAACTATTATTCTAATTACTGATTTTACTTTGTTATTTTTTTTTTTTATAAACACTAACACTTAATTATCATTTTAAAGATGTTGCTAGTAAATATTTATTAAGGGAACCTTCTAAAAGAAAAGCAAGCTTGCTTTTCATTTAGATACCTAGAAAGTAGTTCTCCCGGATGCTCCTCGAAGAAGCCTTGAAAACAACACCACCAATGGCCAAATTACATCCCTGAACAGTGACAATATATTTTGTTTTTAATCATTGGCTGTAGATATAAATATTGTATCTCTGTACTCATATTCTCATAACCTACAGATGACGATATGAATGAAAAAATTTAATTTTACAATTCATCACCCATTAAAAAATGTGGCCACTGATGTTTTTAATTTTTCATATCACAGTCAGTGATCCATATTTTGCTTCATTGATTCTTACTTCTTGACAATCGTTCATATTTTTGATCCGATAATCTTGAAGGCCAGCCATAATACTGATTCATATCATGACTTATGTTCGTTGGTTCCTTTGTTCTTCGAGCAACTTAAAAGATCGAGTTAATTGGGTCGTCAAGAAGTCACTTCTTTTTCTAAGAATAATGTCAGTCAGTAGTATTCGCGTAAAAATGATTGAAAAAGTCCAGTCATGAAAGGCATTTAAACTGTTGGATTGATTGCTCAATACTGTTTAAAAAAAAAAGTAAGACATATCTATCTATCTATCGATCTATCGATCGATAGATAGATATACATAGAGAATGAGAGAGAGAGAGAGAGAGAGAGAGAGATAAATATGTGAGTGTGTGTTTTTAAATTTTAATGTTATTATGTGAGAACAATGAAAATTTGGATCTAATAGCACTAGTTCATGCTTTCTAATACAGCAGGTAATACAAAGAAAGGATGGCTGGCATCTATAGTAGTTTTGCGTAATCTAATTTTGAAATACATTGTTGTTGAGCTATACTTGACCTTGAATAATATGTTTATTACAATCTCTGTATTCATCTTTCTTAAATTTTTTATAATGTTATGAATTCTATATTTACTTTGTTATTTAAATTTTTTTGTTTTTCATTTTTAAAATTTTCTCACAAGGATGAAGAAGAACAAGCAGCAACACAAAAAAGGATAATGTCAGCACATCTCACGCAAGATGTAAACATTTCAGTGTGGATTGCTGATCTCTGCAAGTTTCAAGTGGACGCTGTTGTCAATGCAGCAAATACCATGTTACAACATTGTGGTGGGCTGGCATTGGCGATCTCAGAATGTGGTGGGCCAAAAATACAGAAAGAGAGCAATAATTACATAGCAGAAAACGGACCTCTGCGGACTGGAGAAGCTATTGTAACAAGTGCTGGGAACCTGTCTTGCCAAAAAATTCTTCACGTAGTGGGACCATGTCTGCAAAGCAAACCATCAGCCAAAGATGTCACACAAGCAAAACCAATGTTGCGACAGGCCATAATCAGTGTTTTGCAAAAGGCCGAGGAGCACAAAATGTGTTCTATTGCAATTCCAGCAGTAAGTTCAGGAATATATAACTTTCCTGCCAGGGAATGTGCTGATGTGATTGTTCAAACAATCTATGACCATGTAAAAAATAAGACTAAAAAATCAGCACCATTTACAATATATCTTGTGGACAAGGAGGAAAAAATGCAAAGGAACTGGAGAGGGCGTGCAAAGAACTGTTGAAGGACCCATTTCCAAACAGTGAAGGACAAGGAAATCAGAATGAGGATCCAACTCCAACTTCCATAAGTCAGGTGATCATGGTTTTTGTGATATTAAGGTTTTAATTATGGTAATGTATTTTTGATTTATATAAATTTGAAAATATTAAATGCAAGGCAAAAATTACACTTTAAAACAGTGAATTAGAATATAGTAGCACACCACACATATTAAACAATATTTAAATGGTAATGTGTTTTAATTTATGATAGAGCACAGACTATATAGAACGATGCGATGTGCGAAACACCTCCAGAAAAGTACAGGAGGAAAATGGCAACACATTGGATAAATTACAGGTAAATCAATGTGTATTATACTGTCTTTAGCTTCAATGAAATCACAACAAAAAGTCATAACATCATGATCACTAGAGTTGCTGCTATGTCATTCAGACACAGTTCGGAAACATGCTGAGGGTTACATGAGAAGAACATGTGAATTTTTATGTTTGAACTTTTTGTGCAAATCTAAGGCTTATGTATTCTGTTCTGCTGAAAACTGTTTCTGTTCCCTTTAAACTATTCATCCTTTTAATAGCTTTTCCAAGCTGATTAATTATTGATTGTGGTAGGTTACACTGATGTCAAATTGAGTTATTAGTATTCACAAATTAAATTTGAAAGTAACAATCTTGTGCACATAAAACAACTTTTCCATAAATACTTAACTTGTCCTATCAATGTATTAGGTCTCTATAATGGTATAACACATAGTCATTTATATGTCTTGATGAACTGTCAATCATCCTTTTTATGTCAATCTGAAAAACTTGATTCTGTTCATCTGGACGTTTTCAGTGGGAGAAACGTTTCGTCACTCATCCAAGTGACTTCTTCAGTCTAAGCTGACTGCAGTTTCCCCCAAATTATAAAGAGTACATTATCATAATCACTGAAACCAGCGAACTGAAGTAACGATGGGTTGTGGGGTGAATTGCTTCATCATAATTATGCAAATTGGTGTGACCATTGATCAGGAACGACTCATCAAAGACCACTAATAAATGCCCATGAGTCAGTATGCAAATGTACGTTTTGTAAGATGCGGGGAATCTGGAGTTATTTGTGTACTTTTTTGACAATGTGGAAAGAATTTCTTACTCTTGTGCCACAAATACACTGTTTATTTTGCCCATAGGTCACTGCACTGTGGAAAAGACAGGAAACCGAAGTTGTTGTTGCTGTGATTCCATCACAAATAAAAGGAACGACTTTATAGTTCACCACAGCGAGCGGAAATCACTGGAACCTCATCAATGGTTAACAGGCGAGGTACGTGGAAAAGACACTACAAAATAAATGAAGCTGTATTTTAATTACTGTGTTACAGTAATCCTTTCAAACCCAAAATTTAATGTCCTGGTGTTTGTTTTGCTTTAGTGCTATTCATAGAGCAAAAACATCACTGATCTTAATGCTGTTCCCATATCAAAAACACATTTTATCATCCACGTTAGACAGCTGCAATGTTTTTATAGACACAGCTATTGTTTATACATGCTTTAGTCTTAAATGGATTTGTTACTGTGCTGATGCACTTGAATCTTAAAAGGTTTTATACTGTTGTCAGTCACAACTCCAGATCGCTAACTTTCACGCGTAATGACCAGCATTGCTTTAATTTAAAAAAATAATAAATAGCCGTAAAAAATTAAAAAATATATCAAAGATTAAAAAAAAGTGAAATTGTCAAAGACGAACTTTCAGTCTTGAGTCACATTTTGTTATCCAAATTTTCCATGAAGACACAACTCCAGGATTGAAGAATGTTCTGTGATATGGTAACTGTGGAAGTTATTGGAGTATATTGTTTTTAAATCTGTTTTTATTCAAATGTGAAACGTTTATGAGCACAAAATGTGGCTTCAATGTCCTGTTCTTGGCTGACAGGAGTCACCCACAGTGTGGTCTTCGGTTGATATAAACCTTCTGCCTCGAGATCTGCTTTGTTGTATTTTCATAATGTGTCTTCTGTGTACTTTGGTTTTATATAGTGGTTATGTGAGTTACTGTTATTATCCTGTTAGCTCAATATATTCTTTCCTTTTGTAACGTTTGACATCAACTAGCTATATTCTCATAGAGAAAATCACATAGAAAATCAGTCAGCCAGTCAATGAAAATGAAAGTGTGTTTGAGTGCTTTAGAGAGTAAAAGTCTTACATTGATAGCACTACATTATTAATTAATCATGGATTACATATTTTCAAAAATGTAACATAATTAGCAGTTTGAGTTGACCTCTCTTCATTATTCAATGTTTTTTTACAAGATCATAGAGTGCCCTGCATGATATTGCCTGCAAGTTGGATTTGGGCAGTAAGGTGTACATACTGAACCACTACACTGCCGCTGTCATCCTGTTCGGGAAAAGAGAAATGATGAGGAGGCGCTGTTTGTCAAAGGTAATAAATACATATACATATTGCAATATGAATATATTTGTATTTTACATTGTATTAATGCTTTGTTAACAGGTCAACTTTGATAACTACCACGCAATTGTTTCGTTTGTGAACGTTGGAAATGTTCACTGGAAGTTCCTGGTTAGTACTAACACAAATTTCCCTTCAGAAAATTCATATTTTGAAAAAAAAATACAATATTATGGAAAAATGAGGGTTTTGTTTTTCAAATTATGTCCTGTAAGTGCCATAAAATTTCATCCCTGGAAACATTTTTTACTTTCTGAGACAACTGGATTCATCAAACCCAGATTTGTGGTGTCTTTGATGTCCCACTATGAAGTCCTGCACGTCAAATACCAGTATACTGTAATGCTAATTGTTTCCTATCAGTTTCCATTAAAAACTGAAATTTAAGGTATTCGACTGTAGTAAATCGTGTGTGGACAAATAAGATAATAGCAAATGGAATCTGTAAATCAGCTTGACTTATTATAATAGGGATTGATGTAATAATATCTTTTATAACTGCTTTTCCTGGGCTCATTTTAAAAATCAATAACTGATCAAACAAGTTATAGTCAAACCTCTCAAGCATGATAAAAGACATATTTCTATCTGTAATTACTGGCGAGAGAATTCATTCTATCATCTTTTCGGTTACAGTACCTAAGTAAAGCAGACAGCTGTCTTTACCTTGTTGATCCAGCACGCAACACAAGAGAGCTTGAAGAATCCAAAGTGGCAGCACAAAAATTCAGCTCAATTCTATTTTTCAAAAATTAAAGTGAAAATATTATCTTTACTTTTATAGTGCTGCAGTGTTTTCCAAATTTGTAGGCCCGGCCTTATCGGTGGGCTGGGATGGTAATGTGCCTCAGTAATTACATTTTAGCATGAAAAAGTACAAGTTGGTTGTTAGTTTATTATTTTACTTAATATTGTGTTAAATGACAGTATTAAGTAAACTGCATGTGTCCCAATGGTAGATGGGTCAGTCATTGGCCTTAAGAACTTGCTTTAGCAGTTTAGATCCAGCAGCTTGTTTGTAATGTGTTGGTTTTTGTTTTTTCTTTAATTAGATATTAAAGACTTTCCCTGTTTTTTCAGTTGAATTCAACTTTTTTTATTCTGTGTGTTTTTTGGTGGTGCAGCCCTATTGGCTTTGGGACTGTGTAAATTATAGCAATAGTGAATTGTGATTACTATACAGAGGATTTAATACAGTACTCAAAGCCAGTGCTATTGTAGTTTCTGTCTAAGTGGTATCTCTCCACCGTCTTTGTTTCCCATAAATAAAGAATGTGGCATTAAATGAAGCCACATGTTATTCCAAAATGTTTTATAGTAGAGCATTTTTCAAATTATGTGTGCTGACATTGAACATTCAAAATAAGGTAATGACCTGCCTGCCTGCCAGCGTGCGAGCGGGTTCATGTTGTGTTCTAGTTCAGAACAGTTTTCTGTTTGCCGTCCAGCATTAAAGCTGTACTTAAGTTCACCTTTTGTTTGCGTGAGTCTGCATTTTGGCTACTTTTCCTGCCTGCACACGGCCCTCACATGACAGTGTAACCCTTGCACAGGGAGTTCTTCAAAATGAGGCGTACTGCAATCAACAAGACTGACTGGGTGGATATCAAGTTAAAAGGAGGAGTTTTCAAACACCCAGAACAGAAGGACACAAATAGCTGCGATGTGATTGTCATCTTGGTAAAGTAACAAAGACATGAGTTTCAAATCATTTTTGTGCTGATTATAAAATTGGGTCTGCTATAGAAAAGGAATATGACTAAATTATTTTGAATATTTTGCTATTTCCATAGATGGCAAAGGCGTTCATGGAGTCCTTTCCCCAAATACCAGAAATGACATTTGAAACCACAATTAAAGCAATGGTACAGCAGCGTGAAGCAACTGCTTTACATATACTGGGAGCCTCAGGTTTGTGTTACAGCACAAAGAAATCACTTGTATTTAAATATTCATTGTCAGTCACTAATTTTACTATGTTTGTAATAGTGTTCGAGGCAGAAAACAACTGCGCCATGTGTTCAACTCCAAAACCACCTTTTCCAGGGCCTTCAATCACCAAATGGGTAAGACAGATTTGTAATTGGGGATATGATTTAACAAAATCTATTGTGTAAAGTTGCTTTTGTTATTTGGTTCTTGTTTTGAGGAAGAGGGGAAATATAGCGCTTAATCTTGATCTATGTAATGTTTTTTGTAGATTCTTTGTGTGTAGTTAATGTTATTTTTGAATATTTGATAGATGGAAAAAAATATGCTTACGTACATAACTATATGTGCATGATGTAATAAAGATATTCATGTTACAACCACGTGCATTAGTTACAGATTTTCTTTATTTTTGTGTTTGTTTGAAATTCACAGATCCAGTGTGTATCATGCTGTTTCAAGGTGGTTTCACACATACACGCGCCTGCAGATCAGAATACTAGAGCCTGTATTCATGTACTGTGCAGTAGTTTTGCTGCAGAATTTGGTGAGTGCGTCTCTCTGTGAAACAAGTAAATAACTTTGATATTTATTATTGTGAAAATGGTATATATAGGTTGAATAATGTCAGTGCCTCAATAAATAATGAACTGAAATACTAATCTTTGTATTACTGTATGACTGTAAAGCTTAATCTGAGGAGTTTTACAGTGACTCGTGAAACTTGCAAGGAATCAGGATGTTAGTTCTCAATACCAGATAACTTTTAATGACATATTTGTGTATGACTATATATACAGGTTCTGTACGGTGCGGGTCTGTCAATGTATAACAGCGCTACCAAGACTCCGAGAATTTACGCAGATAAGAGCGGCTGGCTTGACTGCGGCTCACAAATGACGGCTCACTTTACCGCGGTGGATTTGGTTGTTTAGGAAGAGGGAAAAGTTTTGGGAGTGACGGTAACGGCAGCGAGAGAGAGAGAGAGATTTAAGATGTGGGAGATTTGTGACGTTTAGTGTGGAGTGTATACTTAGTGTGTTGTGTAGCTGTTCTGCTGTGTAGTCGTTGTTTTGTGTGTCAGTGAGGGCACTAATGAATGTCACAGAGGCACATTTGTAAACACTAAGTAGAAACCAGCGGAGTGATACGCCTGCTGTTGTCAGGCCTGCAGGTTTGTCCCTGTGCTCTTCTGTCTTTTGGTGGACAAACTTGTTTTTACTGGCACACATCATTTGTGGAGCATCTTATTGCAACACCTGATTGTTCTCTCATTTTAGTTTTAGTAATGTTTTTAAATGGTTGTAGAAAATGAAAAAACAGCAGGTGTATTGGCTGCATTTGTAGATAAATAGTTGTTTATGTTTACAAAATGTACGATTTATATTTGCATTTCAAGTTATAAACATTTACCCAACATGTCTGTGTTTTTTTACAGTAAAAATACTACTAGGATTTTAGGTTCTTTGTGTGATTTCAGATCAGTAATAGTTATATTAATAGTAACACTAATGCAGTATGTCAGTGAAAAACAACTAAATTCAGTTGAGCTGAAAAGATACCAAACAAGGCAACGGGGAAACTTAAGTTAGACTTGTGCTTGTAAATGAAGCGCCCCATGTTGTGTAGCTTTATACTTATTGGGCTACATATTTATTTATTATACAGGCTATAACGTACATAACATCTGTGGTGGCAGATTTCTTTCTCATGTATTAATCACATACTTAATCACATCACATTAGTTATAGTAATATCACTTTCTCACTGTACCATAGTAAGAGCACTCCTGTCACTAGTTTACATGCATGTGGAAAGTTACCACAGTGAGGCCGTTGTAATGGGAGACGTTAAACAGATAGTGAGACTCCTTCTGCTTATCAGGGATGTAACTCTTTAGGTGACGGCCAAGCAGAAAACAAGGTCATAATTCTCTCTGTGAGGGAGGAGCTATAGCCCCCCTGAGAGGGGCAACATGTGAGAGTCTGTGGATGTTCTTTGTGTGTCTGTATATAAGATGTAAGGGCGGTGCCACAGAGATGGTCCTGGTGTTTCACTGGGATGCTCTCTCCACATTGCAATGTGTTTATTAAACCCACTTCAAATCAAGCTCACTGGGTGTGTTGCAGGTTATTGTTAAATTTTCCACGACACATCAAAACTCACATGTTTTATGTAACTAAAGTGTGTAATCATGTGGGCTACAGACAATAATTAAGTTATAGACTATATTTATATGAAAAACGTGCATACTTACTGCATTTGAATCATTTTAGCCATATGTAACCACCTGCATATGTGTTTGGGGGAAAAAGGCTTTGATTTTGCCACCCTAAGAAAATTTCTCTAGATCCGCCCCTGACCCGAAGCGGCCGCTGGTCCGAGTGTCAGGTGAACTGAACTTCAGGTAAGAAGTTATGACCTGCAGTCCATCTGGGTCAGATATGAACCAAGTTTAGGTGGAGTTTGTTTTCCTTGTGCTGACTTTTTACAGTCAGTTACAATAACTCGTACTGCGTGGGAGGAAGTTGTGCCAGATGGTATCTTTGCTAGATGGCAGCTGTCGAGCTAGCGTTTGAAGAGAGAGTCTCCTTTCTCTATTTACTGTGGAGAGCAGAGCAGCGGCGTAAAGGACGTCCTCGCCGTACCCGCGTTTTGTCTTCATCTGGCTGCCACTTTCGTGCGCCTTTTCCCTCGCGGTGCAGGTGTCTATTTCCGAATGAAGCTCATAGTTATGGGTGTTTTTGTGCTGTTTTTTCTATTGGACGTGATGGTTATCAAAACCAAACGTGATAAATTTGGCAAGCGCAGGAGACACGACACGGAGGAGATTTGTCAATCAGGCTGCAGAATGCAATGCTGCACTGTGCAATAAAAACTCAGCGAAAAAGCGAAGCAGTGACGGATGAAAGCGGGACCACTGTGTGCTGTTTATTAAGGCTGTTTTAAACGGCCACAAAGGAGCAGATTGGTTATAATGCAGCTGCTTCAGAGGAACAAACACTGTTTTTATTTCATGTGTAACACCTTTCAATCATGTGTTGACTAAAGTCTATTGACCAGTATAAGTAAAGACATCACACACACACATGGAAACACTGAAACCTGTTTGTGGTGCAGCAGCGGTCCCTCGCCTTTATCTAGACTGGGTCGGCTGCTGATCTCAATATAATCAATGTTTAAAGTTCTCAGTGTTTCTGTGTTGCTGCGTATAGGATCTCCCAGCATCATCACTGTGCTGTCCAATCATTGTGTGCGAGGTTACCCTTATAGTGCGATGTGTGTTTGCACAAAGAGAAGCATGTGTGTCAAATATAAATAAGCACAGAACAGAAACAGCTGCTCGTTTCTTCTGTTTAGAGTCAAGTTAGTGTTTTGTGTCTTTGTTTGAGGCCTGATGTCGAGCAGAGGTGTGTGTAACTGCACTGGTCTGTTATATGTGTGAAGTGTGTGCTTCTCTTCAGCATCATCTTTGTCACTGCTGATTCCTTTGTGTCATCATGTGTTGAGAAGAGAGAACAGTTATAACGGAGGAGCAAAAGGAAGCCCTGAAATCTGCATCAACAAGGAAGTGTTGGCTCACCAGTGATCCCAGCAGAGCCACTGGTTTGGCTCCAGTTGTTCTAGATTCAATGATGTTGTTGCTACAGATACATGTCAGCATCTTTATTGTAGTAAAGTCTTGTAATGTGAAGATAGAAACAAGGCAGCAAACAGCTCCATGATCTGATCTTAATGATGTTGTTTTTATTCCTGTCTGTCAGAACTGGATTGGAAACTATCAAAGGTCTAAAAACAGCCTCGACCCTCCCACAGAGCAAACTTTACACACCTCATCTTTCAGCTACAATCTTTGTTGCAGGGATCTTCTGCCAAACAAGGCTGAGAGAAGATTTCTTACAGCTGTCATGTTGATGCTGTTTCAGTCTTTGGGCAAACACACTCATATATTAGGGCTGATATCAGGCTGCACAAGTTCTTTGTGTTTGTGATTGTTAGCGCCATTTATAGTTATTACATGTTTTATTTTGAAAGACCTGAAAAGGATATGGTGCTTTTGTTGTGAAAGGTTTGTAAAAAATAAAGCAAGCGAATGGCGGAGCGACACGATGGTTTTACCGTCGTTGCACAAACCGACGCGTAAAACAGCCTCTTGTCCATCCAGACTCTTATTTTAGATATAAGAAAATTAGAGAACTCCAAGAAGAAACAAAGATAGCCATTACATTAAGTAAAACCATCATGCTCCCGAGCAAGACGACTGCATCGCTATGAGATCGTGCAAAGTTTGATACAGCAAGTCAGTTAAGTGCACAGAGCTGTATGCATGAAGAATCTAAGAAAAGAAGAAATAAACTTTCATGGATAAAGTTTTGGACTATGATATGCTGCTAAGCTACAAGTCGTGTTAAAACTGAACAATTGCGATTCTCAACTTCTCACAAATAAGTCAGTGACAGTGTTTTTGGTCTTAAGAAGATGACACTAACTACGAAAGCCTCAGCTTTGTGTCATAGACCATTTTGTTTCATGAACACTTGTTGAATAAGAAGTTGTGTAAAAGGAGCAGAGATGGCAGATAAAGACCCGCAAGGTTGCAGGCCCAGGGCGCAGAGCTGCAGTAGCGGGACTGGCCATAAGAGGGCGCAGAAGTACACCGAAAGAGGTTTGGAAGAACAGCTCGGCAGGCACATAAACGCAAGAAGGTCCAAGCTGTCACAATTAACTTCAAAAATGAATAAAATTAGCGGACTGATGAAAGAGAATGAAAGCCTTGACATTGTTGATGAACGTTTAAGCAACTTTTCAAAGCTGCATGAAGAATTCTTACAGGCAAATGATGATGTACTGTCACTGTTGCCAGAAGATGAAAGGAATGTGGACCAGATGCTCTGGTTCAATCCAAAAAAGGAGCAGTTCAGTGCGTTTATGACCGAAGTTGAGAAATGGATCATCGTAACAAGACATCAGCATCAAGACGACGTGAGCCCAGATGACAGCGTGTCAGTGACTGCTAGACCAACTGCAAAGAAATCAGGTACCAGCGTTGGAAGAAGCTCAGTCAGTAGCCGCTCATCAAGATCGTCCAGAGCTTCTTTGGTATCATCTGTACGGCAGAAAGAAGAAGCAGAGCGCGCTGCTCTGCTCGCACGAGCCGCATCCTTGAAACAGAGACAAGCCTTGGACATTGAAGAATGTAAGTTAAAAGCAAGAAGAGAACAG